TGTCCCAATCTTCCTGATGTCCCAAAAAAAGTGTTTAAAGGGCCAGCACCAGTCACATAAAGAGTCCATAAGCCCCAATATGCCCACTGACAGTCTTAAAGGGCCATACACACCAAATAAAAGTGCATACATTTTCACAATCTCCCAGGGGCCATAGTCATGCGGGAGGAGGCTGGCAAATAGGCTTCTCCACAACCTAGGGAAGCAGGGCACTCTTGCTATTTAAAGGGCCCGCTACAGTAGCAGTTTGTAACAAGGTGTCAATCCATATCTCGCCAAGTGACCTCATGTAGGGAACAGTCCTCATTCTGCTCTGTGTCAGTGTGTATCAGGGGCTCTGAGGACTGGTGTCAATCCATATGTCAAGGTGTCAATATGTCACATGTCAGGTGTCAATCCATATCCATTGTGATTTAGGAATGTTAGGTGATTTATGCCCTTTATGGATTAAGACCAGACTCTGCATTAACTGTGTAATTTTCCATGGGAGTTTTGCCATGGATCCCCCTCCGGCATGCCACAGTCCAGGTGTTAGTCCCCTTGAAACAACTTTTCCATCCCTATTGTGGCCAGAAAGAGTCCCTGTGTGTTTTAAAATTCGCCTCCCCATTGAAGTCAATGGCGTTTCGGGCGGTTCGCCGGTTCGCGAACATTTGCGGAAGTTCGCGTTCGCCGTTCGCGAACCGAAAATTTCGGGTTCGCGACATCACTAGTTACCATATAGACTTTGTGTACATGCCTGTTCAGCTTTCTATCCCCAGGGAACTGTCTCTCGCTCGAGATCAGGAAGAATTGATCTCCTCGGAGATCGTGGAACTTTACGCCAAGGGGGCGATACAAGAGGTCCCGTTCACTCAGCCAGGGTTTACGAGCAACCTCTTTTTGGTCCCGAAGAAAGGAGGTGGTGTGCGTTCCGTCATCAACCTCTGCCCCCTCAATGCCTTCCTTCAGTACCAGCACTTCCAAATGGAAGGCATACATTGCCTTCGGGATCTCCTACAGGAATCCGTCTGGTTGGCCAAACTGGACCTGAAAGACGCCTATTTTACGGTTCCCATAACCCAGGAACACAGAGATTTCTTCCAGTTCACCTGGAAGGGAAGACGATGGAAGTTTACATGTCTACCATTCGGGCTCTCTTCGGCCCCCTGGTGTTTCACCAAGGTCATGAAACCGGTGGTGTCCTTCCTCCGAAGTCATGGAGTACGGCTAATTATATATTTGGACGACATCCTACTGATGGCTCAATCAAGAGAACAATTACAACTCCATGTCACATGGACAACGTCTCTACTGCAAAACCTAGGTTTCCTCATCAATTGGGAAAAGTCAATGTTAGTCCCCACTCATTCAATAGAGTTCCTGGGGTTTACCGTGGACTCCATCCAACAGTTCTTATTTCTCCCGGAGACCAAAATGAAGGCTATCAAGAAAGAAATCAGGCGTACATTACGTACAGACGATCTCTCTCTCCGTCATCTGGCGAGGGTGATCGGCCTGTTGGCCGCCTCGATACAGGCAATATTCCCTGGTCCACTCCATTATCGGGCCCTTCAACGTCTGAAGGGCTCTCATCTGCGTGCAGGCCAGTCTTACGAGATGAGAGTGAAACTGGACGAGGAGTCCAAAGACGAGCTGACCTGGTGGTTGGCCCACATGGACGCCTGGAACGGGAGAGCTATATTCGGCTCCACTCCAGACGTGGTGATAGAATCGGATGCCAGCTTCCACGGCTGGGGTGCGCATTGTGGTACCGCATCTACCGGAGGCAGATGGTCAGACCAGGAGCAAACGCTCCATATCAACTGCTTAGAACTATTGGCAGGGGCGTTCGCTATTCGCAGCCTTACACCAGAACATGCGAATTGTTGCGTGATGCTCAGGATGGACAACGTGTCAGCGGTGCGTTACATCAACCACCTAAGGGGCACGAAATCACGCATGTTAGCCCTCCTGGCGAAGGATTTCTGGTGGTTCTGCCTTCACAACAACATTTCTGTGCAAGCAGAACATATACCGGGTCTGGACAATTTGACGGCCGATTGGCATTCACATTATTTAAAAGACTCTGGAGATTGGCACTTACACGCTGCTGCGTTCCAGGGATTGAGTCAAATATGGTGCCCATTCGAAATGGACCTCTTCGCTTCCCGTCTCAACACACAAGTGCCCAAGTTCTTCAGTTGGAGACCAGACCCAGCAGCGATTCCTTCAGGAGTGGCCGAAGACTCGAATTTACGCTTTTCCCCCGTTCAATCTGATAGCTCGCACGCTATCAAAAATGACTCGACACGGCTGTTCGATGGTACTGATCGCACCCCTGTGGCGGTCACGGCCTTGGTTCCCTCGGTTACTGGAGTTGACCACAGATTACCCTCGGCTGATACCAACCTTCCCGAATCTCCTGAGGGATCCGGATGGCAACTCACACGAGTTAGTGGATCATGGCCTTCTTCTGATGGCATGGCCCCTTTCCGGGGACCCGGGTCTATCACGGGAGTTCCGCAGTCAACTCTCGACCTCCTCAACAATGCATGGGTGCCGGGTACTCGAGTGGCACACCGATCCACCTGGCACATCTGGTCTAGTTGGTGCATGGGAAGGACAGTGGATCCCGTATCTGCCCCTTTGCATATGATCATGGAATTCTTTACCGTGCTGTTTGAATCTGGGAAGGCTTATCGCACCATTAACTTATGTCGTTCTGCTATCTCAGCTGGACATCAATGTTTGGATGGTTCATCTGTGGGACGTCACCCCTTCATATGCCGATTACTCAAAGGGATTCGTCTCACTAGACCACCCTGTGCGAGATTCACTGCCTTTTGGGACGTGAATGTGGTCCTCCGATTTTTATCATCTTGGTACCCGAATCAAGCTCTGACACTGAAGCAGCTGTCGGCTAAGGATGGTCATGCTGTTATGTTTGATCTCTTGTAAACGGGTTTCGGATGTTCGAGCACTGGACTGGGATGCCATTACGTTTACCCCGGAAGACATCTCCTTTAATATAACCAGAAGGACGAAGTCGGCTTCCAAGGTTTTCGTATACCTCAGATTTCAGGATAATCCTGCACTAAGTCCAGTAGAGTGCCTGAAAGCTTATCTGGAGGCTACTCAGACGTTGCGCTCTCCAGATTTATGCCTATTGTTCATTTCGTTTCGCATCCTACACCTGCCGGTATCTACCCCTACGTTGGCGAGGTGGGTGCGGGAGTTGTTGGCGTTGGTCGGGATCGACACGTCCAGGTTCACTCCTCATTCAGTCCGTGGAGCTATGGCCTCCAAGGCCTCGGCAATGGGCTGTCACTTGGAAGATATCCTACGTGCAGCAGATTGGTCGCGGGAATCGACTTTTCGTGACTTCTGCTTCAGGCCGATCGAACATTTTGCATCTCAGGTGGTTTCTAAGCTTTAAACTAGCATAATAGGAGCCTCTGTGTCTTTAATAAAATTCCCAGATTTTACTATTAACATGACGTAAAGTCATGATTTTATTAAAGACATGGAGGCGAGTATTATTCCCACTCACCCACCCACCCGGTTGTGTTTGGGAAGTTAGCTGGTATGGTGGATGGATCTGGTAAGTTTCTCTATTTTGAGTTTGGTTCCACTGTTTCATTTTTTTTCTGACATTTTATGTGTTGGTGAATTACGTTTATGCTACCACTTGATATATTAGATGTTTAAGGGTAAGGAGTGGGCTTGACTTAATGGAGTAATTGACTGTCAATACATACAGTTTCGAGCCCAGATATTACCGTATTTTTTATTTTCTATGTCTCCCTTTTAGCCTGAATTATCGTGTTTTTTCCATGATTGGAGATGCTGTTGGCTACGCTGAAGTTGGATTGTTCTACGTGCTGGTCTTCGTTATCCGCAAGAAAGAGGGGGATTGTGGGTGCATCAAGCATGTTATAGTCACTTCCTGTGTTATGTGATTGGTTGCTTGAGCACTGTATTTTTTTGTTCATTTCAGTTATTTATTCATCTCTATTTCTTTGCTGCTGAGAGTAATAAAGAAAGAGATATGCATAATACTCGCCTCCACGTCTTTAATAAAATCATGACTTTACGTCATGTTAATAGTAAAATCTGGGAATTATCTGATCATGTTGTGAAGTTCACGAGGAAATTTAGGCTGGACCTGCACTAGGGCTCAGGAGCAAATTTACACTGCGCTATCCGGGTGCCTTTGTAGACCTTCAGGTGTATTAATGTAGTTTGTGCATATTTAGGCACGCTTCATTGGGGACTCCTGCTTGAGTGCATTTCCAAAATGGCAGTGTGACACAAATTCAGACTAATAAGTAATGCCTATGACTTTGAACAGGCCCCAGTAAAACCGGTAAGAAGACCTGCTGTTGTTATGTGGCCCTCCCAAATTGCAGAGAAGCAAAGCAAATAGAAGAGTCTTGTTTTTTCATTAAAGCCTGTGGATTTTGAAGTTAATAGTAAACACTCATTCAGCAATAGGATGAAAGTATCAGGGAACATTATATTCTAAGTACAATCTGAGAACTGCCTCGGAAAAGCAATGTGTGGGAGAAAATGATATTATGAGTTTTTCCCGCTTCTATTTTAATTTGGAAAAGAAAATCATTTGGGTGGTTTTTTAGATGGCACACGTCAAACTAAGAAACATTTTCTACTCAAACTAGTCTATATCAGTATGTGGTGGTGTATAGGCGTACCCTGGGATTACAAAATAAATGTTCTACTTTAATGAGTGTGCTGTATAAGGCTTTTTTTCCATTCAAAGCCATCAGCTCACATTTCCTCCACAAAGCCTGTGACCTGCGTACACATTTTGATGAAGAATATTTACTCAATGATGATGAAGTGGATCAGCTGGAAGAGTTCAGAAAACAGAGATAAATGCAAGCATCTTCACATAATCATAAGATGAGTAACTCATTAAAGGGCCCACACACATTTTACTGCAACTGATTTACTGGAAAGTATATACATGCATTAAAATATTTTTAGTGTTCTTTTTTTTAAAACAAATGATAGGAAGGCATTGTTAAGGATTGATGTAGTTTTGTTTTTATTGTGTTTTTTTTTTTTTTTATCATTACGCACCCGGTGTGATAGAATAGCATCTGTTGGCTTGCTAATATTGGACTTGTTGGTCTGTTAAGATTTTTCAGTGACTACTTTATGAAACCCTAATATTTATACAGCCCCTCATTATGCTACCATTGTCCAGAGGTGAGGAGATGGTTTTACTGGGTATTAATTTAACAATTACAGAGAGTACTTTACATCTGGTCCTCAAACCAGACTTATGAATTCAAAATAGTCAATTCCAATGACTGCAAGGATAACTGACTTGGTATTGATTTAATATTGTTGAATAAACTTTCCAAACTATTTATTAATTTGGTTAAATAGATAGTAATGAAGCATTAAACATATTTTAATTTTGCAATATTTAGATTTTCTAAATATATTTTTCATATATGATGATATACTGTTATATTTTAATAAAGTTTTAAAAATATTTTCAACGTTTATCCAAAAAACATAACAGCTTTTCTAAATCTTATGCATTAATATTAAATTGAGGCCTTCATTGGCCTTAGAAAAGACTGGTCAAGATTTTCCAAAATACTGTATAATCTACTGCCTAGGACACTTCTAATATGCTTGTTTAGCTAGACACTGGAAATTCACTTATTTAATTTTATTTTTGTTTTGCAAAAAAGCGTCCCCTCAAAGAATACCTTAAATGCTAGTATTCAAGGCCAAAGCTATAGGTGTAATATTTTGAGAAAGATAGGTAAAACACATTATTTCTTGCTATTATACACTGTTTTCAATAAAATTAGTGATTATTATTACCCTTGGACCTTCCTGCTTTTAGCCTAACGCTTGCTCATCAATTTCCTTGATGGTGATTGGATGTATTGAGAAAACCCACTTTTGATTTTATACATTGGTGACTGTATTTCCTATATTTTTTTAATATATTTATCTTACAGTGAGCACTATATTTTTAATCTATGTTTTATTTATAAACCAATG